TGGGGTCACCACAATTCGTCGAACGTCCGATCCCTTCGTGCTCGGATCAAATGCTTCGGGGAGCCTCGGGCGAGCTTCTTTGAGGTTCGGCGAAGGTGGTGCCATCGGTTTGTGAAATGTCGGTGTCGCCGCTGCTGCTGCTGCTGTCGCTGCTGCAATTACTGCTGCGGTGGCGGCTACCGATTGGTTCGTTAGAAGGGACTCGATTCGCCGGATCACCGCCCGCGTCTGCTCCACGCCGGTGCGAAGGCTGGTGATGTCCTGGGCGGATGCAAATTTTTTGCCTTGCCCCTCCATCCCTATACCGAAAATGAGGGGGGGTGAAAAACACGGAACCGGTTTTACGTACCCGAAATCAGTGTTCAATAGTCGTCGCCCCCGCGGTTTTTTGAAGACTCAGTTTTAGTGGTCGAAAAACTTCACGTGTAAACGACTCTGATTACCAAGTGTGGGGATCGAGGATCGAGCTCAGGAAAGAGGGTTTGAATTGAATGATCCACCTGGGTACAACACGAGGCTATATATAGTCTCGACACAAGGCAGGTAACCCAAGTGTTACGCGAATGTTCTGAGGGTCGCGAAGCATTCTGAACAGAACCTTCCCGAACTCGGTAGAAAGCAATTCGGTGGCAACCGTAAAGGCTTGAGTCGGTACACGTAACCGGGTTCGGTGCTATAACTATAAAAACATTTAGGAATGCACCTAACCTAGGAAATCAAGCATAACAATGCATGAGAAAATAAACTGAAGCTAATGATAGCAGAATAAAGGAAGGGCAAGCGAACAAAGCCAGCATAAGCCATCATACTCTCACACAAGTAAAGTCCAGCAAAGCCGTCGTACTCCCACATGACCCCCCCTCAAAGCTGGGTGGCGTAAGATACACCCTGCTTGACAAGATAATCCTTGAGAGCACGGCGTGCATTGCCCATATCAGCTTCTGTAACCCAACTACCCTCCGATGGATCGTATACCTTCCGCGTATCAAGAATTTGAGTTTGTAGTCGCGTCTGCGTCGATGAGCGAGAACTTGTACCGCATCGTACTCTGGTTCATCCTGTACGAGAACAGGTGGTGGTGGTGGTAGCTATCATTCAGTGAACTGTTGGTTGGGATCCTTGTAGGGCTTCAGTAGCCAAACATGGAAAGCATTGTGAAGCTTCCACGTATCTGGTAAGCGCAAGCAGAATGTAATTGGAGTTACCATCGCCTCAACGCGAAAGGGACCATAGATTCAAGGCCAGAGCTTGGACGGAAGGTTAGACAAGTCCAAGTTGCGCGTGTCGAGAAGCACCTGATCTCCGACTGCTACTGAGTGATCTCGTCGCTGTCGATCGGCATACTGCTTCTGGAAGTTCTGCATCGTGGTGAGACGTCGTTGAGTCTTCTCCCATAGCTGCTGCATGGTGGTGATGAAGTCGTGTGTGGCTTGGACTTGTGCCGCTGTGGTTGGTTGCTGTGGTGTAAGTGGTTCCTGTCCGTATCACATGAAGAAAGGCGATTTCCCTATGTCCGCGTGTGATGCGTTGTTGTAAGCGGACTCTAGGGTCGGTAGCCATAGATCACAGTGGCTGATGTTGTCTTTGCAAGCTGTGCACAGTAGCTGTTCATGTCAGAATGTTATATTTGTCTAGCCTGCAGTGGGGTGCTCTGTAGCGAGTACAACCCTTCTAGGGTTTGCTATTTGTATCCCCATTCTTGCTAGTTCAACCCTCTCTCTTTTTGCCTAATTTTCTCGACATTGTATCAGAGCGAAGGTCTCGGGTTCGATTCCCGGTGTGTGCACTTCGGGCATCCCAGTGCGGGGGGGTGTCAGAGGTCCACTGGAGATCCCCGATGATCCTAGGGAAGGGTTACAGGCACGTCGGCCTGGGGGGTTATGGGCGCACTCACCCGCTACTTAAACAAGCCCTTTTATCCCAGTGGTTAGTGACTGGGATTCTGACATGTTATCAGAGCGAAGGTCTCGGGTTCGATTCCCGGTGTGTGCACTTCGGGCATCCCAGTGCGGGGGGGTGTCAGAGGTCCACTGGAGATCCCCGATGATCCTAGGGAAGGGTTACAGGCACGTCGGCCTGGGGGGTTATGGGCGCACTCACCCGCTACTTAAACAAGCCCTTTTATCCCAGTGGTTAGTGACTGGGATTCTGACATGTTATCAGAGCGAAGGTCTCGGGTTCGATTCCCGGTGTGTGCACTTCGGGCATCCCAGTGCGGGGGGGTGTCAGAGGTCCACTGGAGATCCCCGATGATCCTAGGGAAGGGTTACAGGCACGTCGGCCTGGGGGGTTATGGGCGCACTCACCCGCTATATAAACAAGCCCTTTTATCCCAGTGGTTAGTGACTGGGATTCTGACATGCTATCAGAGCAGGTCGACCCTCCTGGGTCGATCCTGTGGGTGGGCCCACCACCTAATGCTTCCGCTGCTGTACTTCCTGCCGGGCGCCTCGGGCGCGCGACGACTTCTTCCTGCCGCGCGTGGAGCGCGCGGCGAATTTTTTCTAGGGTTTCGGCGGTTTTCATCCCGCCGTGCGCTCGGGGCGCGCGGCGGTTTTCTGCACGCCGTGCGCCCCGAGGCGCGCGGCGGTTTCCCACCGTCGAAGCGCCCTCCCCCCGTCGCCGTCGACCCCCCGCGTCGCCCCGCAGCCCCGCGCGTCGCCCCCGACGTCTCGTCGCGACACCTTGGGGAGCCGCGCGCGGCCCCCCGCTACCTCGTCGCGACGCCGTGGGGAGCTGCGCGCGGCCCCCGCTGCCTCGTCGCGACGCCTTAGGGAGCCGCGCGCGGCCCCCCGCTGCCCCGTCGAGGCGCCCTGGGGAGCCGCGCGCGGCCCCCGCTGCCCAGAGGTGGCGCCCTGGGGGTCGCGCGCCTTCCCCCTCGCCGTCCCCCGCGCTCCTTCTCCCTTTCGCCCGTTTTAGGGTTTGGGGGTGGGGAGTGTGGGGGTGGCGGCTGTGGGGGTGGCGGCTGTGGGGGTGTCGGTTGTGCGTTACTCTACCTACTCCTCCTCCTCCCTAGTCTCCCTCTACTGCAGCTGCCGCTGAGGGGGGTGGTGTGTGGGAGTCTAGGGTTTGGGGTTTAAGGGGGGGTACCGTGGGAGTGGAGCTAGGGGTGAAGCAAGGGGTGTGTGTCGAGGGGTGTGGGACTGTTGGGGGAGGTTGAGCGGAGACTGCCGTCGTGTCGTCCGCAGCACCTGTATTCCGGGGTTCCGCGGACCTCCGGTAGCTCAGAGAGCCGGCTGCACCTGTCGCCCGTGGGTCCGCTGCACCCTCCGCAGCGACTATTACCCCTGTAGTCCGGGGCTCTGCTTCCGGTAGCCACTAGCGTTGCGCCAGAGCCGTCTGATGCCCGTGTGTCTGCAGCTTCAGTCGTCGCCTCCACTCCTTTCTCCTCTCGCCAGCCCTCCTCCTCCTCATTTGTCCTCTGTGACCGCCTCTAGCTTTGCTCATAACTTATAAACTGTTGCTTCTTGAACTTGTGCTCAGAATGTGTGGTGACATCGTGATCCACCCTGAGCTTGTACTGCTTTCCTTGCTCTGCTGATTACACCCCACTTTGGCTATGGGGGTGTGTCAGAATGTTATATTTGTCTAGCCTGCAGTGGGGTGCTCTGTAGCGAGTACAACCCTTCTAGGGTTTGCTATTTGTATCCCCATTCTTGCTAGTTCAACCCTCTCTCTTTTTTGCCTAATTTTCTCGACAGTTCAACCACTTGATTGAGTCGCTCAGTCTGTCCGTCCGTCCAGGGGTGGTATGCTGAAGACATTGCAAGCTTTGTCCCCAACAATCCCATGAGTTCCCTCCAGAACTTACTAGTGAACTTTGGGTCTCTGTCTGAGATGAGTGTAGCAGGGATGCCGTGGATGGTGATAATGCGGTCGAAGAAGAGGCGAACAGTTGCTTTAGCTGTAGCCGAAGCGTTAGTCGGGATGAAGTGTCCCATTTTAGAGAACTTGTCGATCACCACGAGTATAGCGTCATGCCCTCGTGAGGTCGAAGGAAGCCCAGTGATGAAGTCTAGGCTGACGACTTGCCATGGCTGCTCCGGTACGGGTAGAGGCTAAAGTATCCATGCTTTTTTTCTGCTTGCTACTATTCATCAGCTGGCACATATAGCATGAGGTGACGAACTGCTATACGTCCGCTGCCATCTGGGACTAGTAGTAATACTTAGCTATCCCTGCTAACGTTTTGTTTCTCCTGAAATGTCCTGCGTATGCTACGTTGTGAAACTCCTCCAATAGGATTTGTCGTAGCAGGGCATAGTTCGGTACCCAAATCTTTCCTGATCCTTTTCTTACAGCGACGTCTTTCTCCCACTGTAACACCTTCTGTTTCTTTGCTGTTGTGATCTCTACATCCACGGAGTACCCATGTTGGAACAGACCCTTGAGTAGAGGGTTCATCCCGTCGAGCTGGATGCCTGCTACATGTCCAAGGCGGCTCAACGCGTCTGCTTTGTTGTGGAGCCCAAGCTTGTAGACGATGTCGTAGTGAAAATGAGTCTCCAAGAAGTCCATCCACCGCACCTGTCGTTGTGATAGCGTTGGCTGCGACTTAAGATGCTTGAGACGTAGTGGTCAGTGACTATAGTCTTGGCTCCCTCTAGGTAACACCTCCACGCCTTGAAGGCTGTGACTATCGCTAAGGCTTCCTTGTCATGGATTGGGTAATTCAGTTCAGCTCCGTGTCGCTTCTGACTGAGATAGGCAATGGGCTGCAAACAGTGTCCTTGATCCTACATCAGTACTGCTCCAATTGCCTGGTCACTAGCGTCTACATCCACTACGTAATCCTTGTCTGGGTCCATTAGGATGAGTACTGGCGCTGTAGTCAGTGCTGTCTGTAGCTGCTCCATGGCTTGCTGTTGAGGAGTATCCCATTTATAAGGTGTATCTTTTTTCAGTAATTTGGGCAGTGGCGCTGCTATCTTAGCATACTGCGGCACGAACCTGTTGTAGTAGTTGGTGAAGCCTATGAACTTCTGCAACTCCTTCACGTTCTAAGGAACTTTCAACTTCTTGATGGCTTCGATCTTCCGCGGGTCCACGTGTACGCCCTCCGCACTCACCATGTGCCCGAGAAACTGCACCTTCTTCAGGGCGAAGTCGCTCTTCGACAGCTTCACGTAGAATACATTTTTCCGCAGGATCTCGAAGACTTTCCGCAGATGCTCCACGTGCTCCTTCATATTTTTGGAGTAGATGAGAATGTCGTCCACACTGCTACGCATTCATTCAGCAGGGGTCGTAGGATGTGATTCATCGCCGCTTGGAACGTCCCCGATGCGTTGCAGAGTCCGAACGGCATCACTAAGTATTCGTAGGAGTCGTGTCTGGTATGTAACACCATCTTGTGGATCGAGTTGCCTTCCATCTTGATCTGCCAGTAACCCGACCGTAGGTCCAGCTTCAAAAATACTGTTGCACCACACAGTTGGTCAAGAAGATCAACTATGCGCGGTATGGGGTATTTGTTCTTGACTGTCTGTTTGTTCAGTGCCCGGTAGTCGACGCACATCCGTGAACTACTGTCCGGCTTTGGAGTGAAGAGAACCGGTGCGCCGTAGGAAGAGGTGGATAGGCATATCAGTTGTCTGTCCAGTAAGTACTCAATCTGCTTCTTCATGTCTATCAGTTCGATCAGACTAATGCGGTATGGTGCACGGAAGACGGGTTTCGCACCTGGTACCTGCATGCGGGTCATCCGGCATGATGTCCTTGTACTCCGTTAACACCTCCTGTACTTCTGCAGGTATCTCTGAGTTCAGCTCCACCTCCTCTGCTGCTGCCATAACCAGTGCTAAGTAACCCGTGTTACTCTCGTTCACTGTTCGTTCAAACCGTGCAGGTGTTGTTTCAGGTACATCCCCTATATCTGTCCAGCTTCGCAGCTCCACACGTTTCCCGTTGTTGTAGATGCTCGCCTTCCAGTTGACCCAGTCTATCTCGGTGTTGACCCGCTTAAAAAAATCACGCCCCAAGATGAAATCTAACCCTTTGATGTTCGTGATCGGCAACGTCGGCTTCCACCTCAACGCCCCTATCTGCAGCTGCAGTGTTGACTCGCCGTGGATAGGAAGCTTCGTACCGTCCACCATCGTTGCTGTAAATTGGGTCTCCTCCGATGACTCTCCAATTTTCTCCAACGTCCCGCGGTCACACACCGAGTGGGACGCACCGCTGTCCACCAGTGCCTGGAGGCATCGCCCGTTGCAGATCACCTCGAGGAGTAGTGGCTGCTGCCACTTCGAGTAGCTGTAGATTGTCTTGCTTACAGGATCATAGGGTACATCAAATGTATCATCCGTAGGTCCTGCGCTCGAAGCTGCATATTCGATATTAGTTTCAAAATGAGCAGGGTTAGAAGGATTTATCCGAGGCTAGTACAGCTTCTCCTGAGCCTGGAACCTTCCCCTAAGCCTTTGCAGCTGTGTGGGCTTCACATGTGGGGAACGGTGGGGAGCCTTAACACCATGCTGCTAGGAGATCATATTAACTCCTTAGAACGTTCGACCTGTATCAACGCTCTGGAATAGGGTTCCCATATTACCCGGTACCGGTAATAAAGGCTTAATAAAGGCTTGAAAACCACAAGAAGTAATATTCTTTGGTGTACGGCTGGGGTTTCCCGATTGGTGCAAGGTTTTGTCACCCCTGCCTACGAGCGTGTGACACATTGCACGTGTGCTCGGACGGGCCGCCACCTGGCTACTTTCACTCGGGAGCCGGGGTCGGACCTGTACACACTGACCACTGAGTCCCCTCAGGTAGCTGCGTCTGCGTCTGCGTCTGCGTCAGGTCAGCTGTCCGCCCCCTGCTCATGTCGCTCTCTGGCGCATGAGACTGTCCTCTGGCACCACCGCCTTGGTCACCCGTCTGTGCAGCGCCTTCGGGCCATGCACAAACGGGACCTTGTTGCTGGTCTTCCCAGGGTGCTCCCTCCCCTTCCCGACTCCCCTGCTCCTGACTGCATTCCCTGTGTCGAGGGGCGGCAGCGCGCCGCTCCTCACTCCTCCTCCTTTCCCCCGACGACTGCTCCCTTGCAGACGCTCCACATGGACGTGTGGGGCCCAGCCCGCGTCCGTGGTCAGGGTCAGGAGAGGTACTTCCTGATAGTTGTTGACGACTACTCGCGCTACACCACGGTCTTCCCCTTGCGCTCCAAGGGTGACGTCCCTGGTGTTTTGATCCCCTGGATCAGCCGAGCCCGTCTCCAGCTAGGCAAGCGCTTTCACTCGGACTTTCCTGTCCTGCGCTTGCACTCTGACAGAGGTGGTGAGTTCGCCTCCGACCTCTTGGCAGCCTACTGTGCTGAGCACGGCATTGAGCAGTCGTTCACGCTTCCGGCCTCTCCACAGCAGAATGGGGTTGCTGAGCGCCACATTGGCTTGGTCATGGAGGTCGCTCGTACCTCCCTGACCCATGCGGCTGCTCCCCACTTTCTGTGGCCGTTTGCGGTCCGGTACGCCGCGCATCAGCTCAACCTCTGGCCCCGTGTCTCCTTGCCGGAGACTTCCCCGACTCTTCGGTGGACGGGAGAGGTTGGCGATGCGTCGCGTTTCCGGGTCTGGGGATCTCGAGCTTTTGTCCGCGACACGTCCGCGGACAAGCTCTCGCGTCGCGCTGTTCCCTGTGTCTTTCTTGGCTTTGTTCCCGACGCGCCTGGATGGCAGTTTTACCACGTCACCTCGCGCCGGGTTCTGGCCTCTCAGGACGTCACTTTTGACGAGTCCGTCCCCTTCTACCGCCTCTTCCCCTACCGCACTGCCCCGCTCCCCCCCCCGCCTCTCTTCCTCGCTCCAGGTGCTGAGGTACCAGACCCCCTCCCCCCTCAGGGTGCCGCTCCCTCAGGTGTGTCCCAGGTAGACCCGGGTGAGCCTGTCGAGGTAGCTGTTGACTCGCGTCCTGCGTCTGGGGGTGCTGAGCCTGGGAGTGCTGCGTCTGAGGGTGCGGAGCCTGGGGGTGCTGAGCCTGGAGGTGCGGAGCCTGGGGGTGCTGAGCCTGGAGGTGCGGAGCCTGGAGGTGCGGAGCCTGGAGGTACTGAGTCTGGACGTGCTGAGTCTGGGGGTGCTGAGACTGGGGGTGCTGAGTCTGGGGGTGCTGAGCCTGAGCGTGCTCCACCTGGAGGAGCCCTCTCCTCCCAGCAGCTGCAGGAGAGGTACCTCGAGTACTGCCGCCTCCGGAGAGGTGCTTCTGGAGCTCGTCCCGGTACTTCCCCTCCTACCCAGGAGCTCCCCCCCATTCAGGTGATCCGCGAGTGGTACACGCGGCGCTGCAGTCTTCGTAGTGGTGCTCCTGGTGCTGCGGACCCGAGCGGTGGTGCTGTTGCTGGTGCTGAGGACCCGGACGCTGGAGCTGCTGCTGGTGCTGAGGACCCGGGGGCTGGAGCTGCTGCTGGTGCTGAGGACCCGGGCGTTGGAGCTACTGCTGGTGCTGAGGACCCGACCGGTGGCGCTGCTGCTGGTGCTGAGGACCTGACCGGTGGCCCTACTGCTGGTGCTGAGGGCCCGGGCGGTGGCGCTGCTGCTGGTGCTGAGGACTCGGGCGTTGGAGCTCCTACTGGTGCTGAGGACCCGGGTGTTGGAGCTGCTGCTGGAGCTGAGGACTCGGGCGTTGGGGCTGCCACTGGTGTCCCTGCTGCTTCTGGAGACGCTGCGCGGCCGCGACCGTACTTCGTACCGCTCCTTCAGCAGGTTCTTGGTCAGGCTCCTCCTCCTAGTCCTCCTCCCTCCGTCGAGTGTCCTCTGCCTGTCCAGCCGCAGTCACAGTTACCGCCTGCCTCGCCTCTCCCTGCTCCCTCTCCTTACGCTGGTCCCACAGGAGGTCTTACAGAGCGTCGTGAGCCTGAGTCTCGTCCTGCGTCGCCTGTTCGTACTGCTCGCACTGGTCGTCGTGTCCTACGTGAGCGTCCTCCTCCTGTCCCTGGCACTCACTACATGACTCTGCGTCCCTCCACTGCTCCGCAGCGTGTCCCGCTGCCGTCTCCTCCTGCGTCCTCTCTTCCTACTCTTCCTGACCCGGAGTCTGACTCCCGTCGTGCTGCCAGTCCCACTGTTACGCGTCTCCTCGCTACAGTTGTCACTGACCCGACCTTTGAGTCCTCTGCTGCGTCTGCTCTGGTCGCTGAGTTGGTTGACTTTGCTGCTCGCTGTCGCCTAGACTACGCTGCCAGCCTTGTCGCTGAGTCTGAGTCTGCGTCTGCCTGTCCTCCGTCCGTCGGGGGTGAGTGTGCCCTCGGCACGGACGTCCTTGAGGACAGACAGGAGGAGTTCCACTGCCTTGCTGCTGCTTTGCCCCGTCTCGTGTCCTTGCTAGTTGCCCCTGAGGGAGACCCGGATGCACCAGACATCCCGACCCCACGCTCTTACGCTGAGGCGATGGCGGGTCCCTACTCCTCTCAGTGGCAGACAGCCATGGACGCAGAGATGGCTTCCTGGAAGTCCACAGGCACCTACGTAGACGAGGTTCCCCCTCCTGAGGCGAACATCGTCAGTGGCATGTGGATTTTCAGGGTGAAGCGGCCGCCGGGTTCTCCGCCTGTCTTCAAGGCGCGCTACGTGGCTCGAGGCTTCAGTCAGCGAGAGGGAGTAGACTTCTTTCAGACCTTCTCCCCCACCCCGAAGATGACTACTCTTCGGGTGCTGCTGCACATAGCCACTCACCGCGACTACGAGCTTCACTCTCTTGACTTCAGCACTGCTTTCTTGCAGGGCAGCCTGCACGAGGAGATCTGGCTGCGCCGCCCCCTTGGCTTCACTGGGTCAGTTCCTCCTGGCACCCAGTGGAGGCTTCAGCGGCCGGTCTACGGTCTCCGCCAGGCGCCACGTGAGTGGCACGACACACTGAGGACGACACTTGCGGCTCTTGGGTTCGCTCCCTCTACTGCTGACCCGTCGCTGTTTCTACGCACCGACACCTCGCTGCCGCCGTTCTACATCCTCGTGTACGTCGACGACTTGGTCTTTGCCACTGCTGACACCGCGGCACTCGCCCACGTGAAGTCGGAGCTGCAGAGGAGACACACGTGCACAGACCTGGGTGAGCTGACGAGCTATCTTGGCTTGCGGATCACCCGGGACAGAGCACGGCGCACCATCACCCTGACTCAGTCACACATGGTGCAGCAGGTTCTCCAGCGCTTCCGCTTCACGTACTCCTCGCCTCAGTCCACTCCTCTGCCTACCGGTCACTCGCTCTCAGCTCTGCCTTCGGATGAGTCCGTAGAGCCGAG